CTACTAGCTACAGACCGGGTTAGATGAGGATCTACTAGCTACAGACTGGGTTAGATCAGGATCTACTAGCTACAAACTATGTTAGATGAGGATCTACTAGCTACAGACCAGGTTAGATCAGGATTTACTAGCTACAGACTGTGTTAGATGAGGATCTACTAGCTACACACTGGGTTAGATGAGGATCTATTAGCTACAGTCCGGGTTAGATCAGGATCTACTAGCTACAAACTGGGTTAGATGAGGATCTACTAGCTACAAACTGGGGTAGATCAGGATCTACTAACTACAGTCCGGGTTAGATGAGGTTCTACTAGCTACAAACTGGGTTAGATGAGGATCTACTAGCAACAAAGTAGGTTAGATGAGGATCTACTAGCTACAAACTATGTTAGATGAGGATCTACTAGCTACAAACTGGGTTAGATCAGGATCTACTATCTACAAACTGGGTTAGATCAGGATCTACTAGCAACAGTCTGGGTTAGATGAGGATCTACTAGCTACAAACTGCGTTAGATCAGGATCTACTAGCTACAAACTGGGTTAGATGAAGATCTACTAGCTACAGACTGGGTTAGATGAGGATCTATTAGATACAAACTGGGTTAGATCAGGATCTACTAGCTACAGACTGGGTTAGATGAGGATCTACTAGCTACAAACTGGGTTAGATGAGGATCTACTAGCTACAGACTGGGTTAGATGAGGATCTATTAGATACAAACTGGGTTAGATGAGGATCTACTAGCTACAAACTATGTTAGATGAGGATCTACTAGCTACAAACTGGGTAAGATGAGGATCTACTAGCTACAAACTGGGTTAGATGAGGATCTATTAGCTACAGACCGGGTTAGATCAGGATCTACTAGCTACAGACCGGGTTAGATGAGGATCTACTAGCTACAGACTGGGTTAGATCAGGATCTACTAGCTACAAACTATGTTAGATGAGGATCTACTAGCTAAAGACCAGGTTAGATCAGGATTTACTAGCTACAGACTGTGTTAGATGAGGATCTACTAGCTACAAACTGGGTTAGATCAGGATCTACTAGCTACAAACTGGGTTAGATCAGGATCTACTAGCAACAGTCTGGGTTAGATGAGGATCTACTAGCTACAAACTGGGTTAGATCAGGATCTACTAGCTACAAACTGGGTTAGATGAAGATCTACTAGCTACAGAATGGGTGAGTTGAGGATCTACTAGATACAAACTGGGTTAGATGAGGATCTACTAGCTACAGACTGGGTTAGATGAGGATCTACTAGCTACAAACTGGGTTAGATGAGGATCTACTAGCTACAAACTGGGTTAGATGAGGATCTACTAGCTACAAACTGGGTTAGATGAGGATCTACTAGCTACAAACTGGGTTAGATGAGGATCTACTAGCTACAAACTGGGTTAGATCAGGATCTACTAGCTACAAACTGGATTAGATCAGGATTAGATAGCTACAGCTACAAACTGGTAGATGAGGATCTACTAGCTACAAACTGGGTTAGATGAGGATCTACTAGCTACAAACTGGGTTAGATCAGGATCTACTAGCTACAGACTGGGTTAGATGAGGATCTACTAGCTACAACTGGGTTAGATCAGGATCTACTAGCTACAGACTGGGTTAGATGAGGATCTACTAGCTACAAACTGGGTTAGATGAGGATCTACTAGCTACAGACCGGGTTAGATCAGGATCTACTAGCTACAGACTGGGTTAGATGAGGATCTACTAGCTACAGACTGGGTTAGATGAGGATCTACTAGCTACAAACTATGTTAGATGAGGATCTACTAGCTACAGACCGGGTTAGATCAGGATCTACTAGCTACAGACTGTGTTAGATGAGGATCTACTAGCTACACACTGGGTTAGATGAGGATCTACTAGCTACAGTCCGGGTTAGATCAGGATCTACTAGCTACAAACTGGGTTAGATGAGGATCTACTAGCTACAAACTGGGTTAGATCAGGATCTACTAGCTACAGTCTGGGTTAGATGAGGATCTACTAGCTACAAACTGGGTTAGATGAGGATCTACTAGCTACAAACTGGGTTAGATGAGGATCTACTAGCTACAAACTATGTTAGATGAGGATCTACTAGCTACAAACTGGGTTAGATCAGGATCTACTAGCTACAAACTGGGTTAGATCAGGATCTACTAGCTACAGTCTGGGTTAGATGAGGATCTACTAGCTACAAACTGCGTTAGATCAGGATCTACTAGCTACAAACTGGGTTAGATGAGGATCTACTAGCTACAGACTGGGTTAGATGAGGATCTATTAGATACAAACTGGGTTAGATGAGGATCTACTAGCTACAGACTGGGTTAGATGAGGATCTACTAGCTACAAACTGGGTTAGATGAGGATCTACTAGCTACAAACTGGGTTAGATGAGGATCTACTAGCTACAAACTATGTTAGATGAGGATCTACTAGCTACAAACTGGGTTAGATGAGGATCTACTAGCTACAAACTGGGTTAGATCAGGATCTACTAGCTACAAACTGGATTAGATCAGGATCTACTAGCTACAGTCTGGGTTAGATGAGGATCTACTAGCTACAAACTGGGTTAGATGATGATCTACTAGCTACAAACTATGTTAGATGAAGATCTACTAGCTACAAACTGGGTTAGATCAGGAGCTACTAGCTACAGTCCGGGTTATATTAGGATCTACTAGCTACAGACCAGGTTAGATCAGGATCTACTAGCTGCAAACTGGGTTAGATGAGGATCTACTATCTACAAACTGGATTAGATGAGGATCTATTAGCTACAAACTGGGTTAGATGAGGATCTACTAGCTACAGACTGGGTTAGATGAGGATCTACTAGCTACAAACTGGGTTAGATGAGGATCTACTAGCTACAAACTGGGTTAGATCAGGATCTACTAGCTACACACTGGGTTAGATGAGGATCTACTAGCTACAAACTGGGGTAGATCAGGATCTACTAGCTACAGACTGGGTTAGATCAGGATCTTCTAGCTATTAACTGGGTAAGATGAGGATCTGCTAGCTACAAACTGGGTTAGATGAGGATCTACTAGCTACAAACTGTGTTAGATGTTAGATCAGGATATACTAGCTACAGACTGGGTTTAATCAGGATCTACTAGCTACAAACCGGGTTAGATGAGGATCTACTAGCTACAAACCGAGTTAGATGAGGATCTACTAGCTACAGACTGGGTTAGACCAGGATCTACTAGCTACAGACTGGGTTAGATGAGGATCTACTAGCTACAAACTGGGTTAGATGAGGATCTACTAGCTACAAACTGGGTTAGATCAGGATCTACTAGCTACAGACTGGGTTAGATCAGGATCTACTAGCTACAGACCGGGTTAAATCAGGATCTACTAGCTACAAACTGGGTTAGATGAGGATCTACTATCTACAGACTGGGTTAGATCAGGATCTACTAGCTACAGACTGGGTTAGATGAGGATCTACTAGCTACAAACTCGGTTAGATGAGGATCTACTAGCTACAGACTGGGCTAGATGAGGATCTACTAGCTACAAACTGGGTTAGATCAGGATCTACTAGCTACAAACTGGATTAGATCAGGATCTACTAGCTACAGTCTGGGTTAGATGAGGATCTACTAGCTACAAACTGGGTTAGGTGATGATCTACTAGCTACAAACTATGTTAGATGAAGATCTACTAGCTACAAACTGGGTTAGATCAGGAGCTACTAGCTACAGTCCGGGTTATATTAGGATCTACTAGCTACAGACCAGGTTAGATCAGGATCTACTAGCTGCAAACTGGGTTAGATGAGGATCTACTATCTACAAACTGGGTTAGATGAGGATCTATTAGCTACAAACTGGGTTAGATGAGGATCTACTAGCTACAGACTGGGTTAGATGAGGATCTACTAGCTACAAACTGGGTTAGATGAGGATCTACTAGCTACAAACTGGGTTAGATCAGGATCTACTAGCTACACACTGGGTTAAATGAGGATCTACTAGCTACAAACTGGGGTAGATCAGGATCTACTAGCTACAGACTGGGTTAGATCAGGATCTGCTAGCTACAAACTGGGTTAGATGAGGATCTACTAGCTACAAACTGGGTTAGATCAGGATATACTAGCTACAGACTGGGTTTAATCAGGATCTACTAGCTACAAACCGGGTTAGATGAGGATCTACTAGCTACAAACCGAGTTAGATGAGGATCTACTAGCTACAGACTGGGTTAGACCAGGATCTACTAGCTACAGACTGGGTTAGATGAGGATCTACTAGCTACAAACTGGGTTAGATGAGGATCTACTAGCTACAAACTGGGTTAGATCAGGATCTACTAGCTACAGACTGGGTTAGATCAGGATCTACTAGCTACAGACCGGGTTAAATCAGGATCTACTAGCTACAAACTGGGTTAGATGAGGATCTTCTAGCTACAGACTGGGTTAGATCAGGATCTACTAGCTGCAGACTGGGTTAGATGAGGATCTACTAGCTACAAACTCGGTTAGATGAGGATCTACTAGCTACAGACTGGGCTAGATGAGGATCTACTAGCTACAGACTGGGTTAGATCAGGATCTACCAGCTACAAACTGGGTTAGATCAGGATCTACTAGTTACAGACTGGGTTAGATCAGGATCTACTAGCTATAAACTATGTTAGATGAGGATCTACTAGCTACAAACTGGGTTAGATCAGGATCTACTAGCTACAGACCGGGTTAGATCAGGATCTATTAGCTACAAACTGGGTTAGATCAGGATCTACTAGCTACAGACTTTGTTAGATCAGGATCTACTAGCTACAGACTGGGTTAGATCAGGATTTACTATCTACAAACTGGGCTAGATGAGGATCTACTAGCTACAAACTGGGTTAGATGAGGATCTACTAGCTACAAACTGGGTTTGAAAGACGGTTCAGTATCACAAACTACCGGGTTTAGCAGATTTCGATGCTGTTTCATTAAAATATTTCAGACCAAAGCATGGCGGGAAGTATTGCCTGGGGAAGAGAAAGAAGTATATGTCATGTAACACCCAGGTAAGGAAGAAGTATATGCTATGTAACACCCAGGTAAGGAAGAAGTATATGCTATGTAACACCCAGGTAAGGAAGAAGTATATGTCATGTAACACCCAGGTTAGGAAGAAGTATATGCCATGTAACACCCAGGTAAGGAAGAAGTATATGTCATGTAACATCCAGGTAAGGAAGAAGTATATGTCATGTAACATCCAGGTAAGGAAGAAGTATATGTCATGTAACATCCAGGTAAAGAAGGTAAAGAAAAAGAACATGTCATGTAACATCCAGGTAAGGAAGGTAAGGAAGAAGTATATGTCATGTAACATCCAGGTAAGGAAGGTAAGGAAGAAGTATATGTCATGTAACATCCAGGTAAGGAAGGTATATATGTCATGTAACATCCAGGTAAGGAAGGTAAGGAAGAAGTATATGTCATGTAACATCCAGGTAAGGAAGGTAAGGAAGAAGTATATGTCATGTTACATCCAGGTAAGGAAGGTAAAGAAGAAGTATATGTCATGTAACATCGAGGTAAGGAAGAAGAACATGTCATGTAACATCCAGGTAAGGAAGGTAAGGAAGAAGTATATGTCATGTAACACCCAGGTAAGGAAGGTAAGGAAGAAGAACATGTCATGTAACATCCAGGTAAGGAAGGTAAGGAAGAAGTATATGTCATGTAACATCCAGGTAAGGAAGGTAAGGAAGAAGTATATGTCATCTAACATCCAGGTAAGGAAGGTAAGGAAGAAGTATATGTCATGTAACATCCAGGTAAGGAAGGTAAGGAAGAAGTATATGTCATGTAACACCCAGGTAAGGAAGAAGTACATGTCATGTAACACCTAGGTAAGGAAGAAGTATATGTCATGTAACATCCAGGTAAGGAAGGTAAAGAAGAAGTATATGTCATGTAACATCCAGGTAAGGAAGGTAAGGAAGAAGTATATGTCATCTAACATCCAGGTAAGGAAGGTAAAGAAGAAGTATATGTCATGTAACATCCAGGTAAGGAAGGTATGGAAGAGGTATATGTCATGTAACACCCAGGTTAGGAAGAAGTAAGGAAGTAGTACATGTCATGTAACACCCAGGTTAGGAAGAAGTATATGACATGTAACATCCAGGTAAGGAAGAAGTATATGTCGTGTAACACCCAGGTTAGGAGGAAGAACATGTCATGTTACACCCATGTAAGGAAGGTAGGGAAGAAGAACATGTCATCTAACACCCATGCAAGAAAGACGCATACATTAAGACGTCATGTAACATCCAGATAAGGAAGTAGTATACCTATATAAGGAAGAAGTATATGTCATGTAGCACCCAGGTTAGGAGGAAGAACATGTCATGTTACACCCATGTAAGGAAGGTAGGGAAGAAGAACATGTCATCTAACACCCATGCAAGAAAGACGCATACGTCATGTAACATCCAGATAAGGAAGTAGTATACCTATATAAGGAAGAAGTATATGTCATGTAGCACCCAGGTTAGGAGGAAGAACATGTCATGTTACACCCATGTAAGGAAGGTAGGGAAGAAGAACATGTCATATACCACCCAGGCAAGAAAGACGCATACGTCATGTAACATCCAGATAAGGAAGTAGTATACCTATATAAGGAAGAAGTATATGTCATGTAGCACCCAGGTTAGGAGGAAGAACATGTCATGTTACACCCATGTAAGGAAGGTAGGGAAGAAGAACATGTCATATACCACCCAGGCAAGAAAGACGCATACGTCATGTAACATCCAGATAAGGAAGTAGTATACCTATATAAGGAAGAAGTATATGTCATGTAGCACCCAGGTTAGGAGGAAGAACATGTCATGTTACACCCATGTAAGGAAGGTAGGGAAGAAGAACATGTCATATACCACCCAGGCAAGAAAGACGCATACGTCATAAGTAACATCCAGATAACATGTAGCACCCAGGTAATGAAGGCGTTTAAGCCATGTAACACCCATATAAGGAAGAAATATACCTATATAAGGAATAAGTATACGTTCTGCAATACCCATATAAGGAAAAGAAGTATACGTCTGCCTACATCTGTGTCCTGCTGTATATGTCCATGTTCCCCACAGCCGTGCCCAAGTAACGTCACTGACTTCAGAGAGGTGCAGTGTTCCAGCTTCAACGCCGTGGAGTTCCGGGGTCGTCACTACGACTGGAAGCCCTATACAGGAGGTAAATAGATCCACAGGTGTAACCTGGCTTATACAAGATGGAGGTCTACCTGAGGCGATACTTAATGAATGTTGTTTGAACGGCATGATTCAGATTCAGATCCTGAAACATAATCAAACACAGCTACTTGAAGTAATAAAATAATCTATTCCACGTATCCCTAAGTGTGAAACAAAGGAAAATTCCCCATCTCCAGAATCGGCCCGACATCTACCAGTTGATACATGTAGGTAATGCCTGCAGAACACTAACTCTATAACGATCTGCCATAAGACTTGACTTGTGTATCCTTTTTAATAAACAATGCCAGTAAGGAAAGTTGGTCAGTTCCATCCTCAGGAATGTCTCTAGAATAACAATCATGTATTCTACCAACTCTGGCGTTGTATTCGCCATATAAAATCAAATCAACTGACTTATGACTTCCGGTCAGGTCAAACAGGATGTTATCTCAGGATTCATAACTTCCGGTTTTTCGATCTTTACAAAGTAGAGAATGAGGAGGTGACATATAGGTTTCTCTTTCATCATACCACGGAGACTTAGCCACCTTATACACCTGAACTTACCAAGGTCTACGGGGACCATTGTGACATATTGCCAAATGTCTGTTGGTATGCGTATTAACATTTCACATAGGGCGCCCCCCTGTAGCACGGTGAAGTTACATATGTCAAGTTTCCTTATTTGCAAAGTAGATATGGAAGTCCTACACTTCATATGTAGCCTTTCCTTAAATTCGGCTACCATTCCACACTGAAATCTAAGACCATAGCAACGTCTACTACAGTGTTATCAGTATATTATGTGTTTTGATACATGTCTATTTGCCACGTGCATGTGTTTCTTGAGAGAGATGTCTACTCTTAGTGCAGGTGAAACCCTGCGCACTGATCTGTATGGCAGAAGGTTACAACTTTTACACGGAACGATCATCAAAGGTCATTGACGGCACAAAATGTAGTTCTGACACCCTCGACGTTTGCATTGATGGAGAGTGCCACGTGAGTATACAGATTTTGTGGAGATTGTCAGTGGACATTTCTGGTGGTGTGTTTGATACAGACTCGGGATCTAGTGCTGAATATACGAGGGGCGCCCCAAAAGTAGTCGGCCTAACTATATTCTCTAGGTTCAATGTTAGGAAAGCTTCCATTTTATTTTGAAGGAATCATTAGCAAAGCCATTTCCAAAATTTCACATATGTGGGTAATGTGGTTAACGAGATATTAGTCGTCACAACACATTGGGGAATGATATTTCTTTAAAAACTGCAGAAAGTGAAAAACTATCTGTCATTTTGTACCTCTTGGATAATAGTATGCCCTCAGAGTATATCATATAAAATATGTTCAGTATAGTATTGGATGACTTCCCGTCATAATCAACATTCAAGTATTTGGATGGCTTCATCTGTATTTAGATGGGGCTGTTTTTTAAAGGACACCCCCATTTTAATCTTTCAAAAACATTGTGTCCAAGTATTCAAGCTGGCACTGTTTACAATATACTGAGTGCTGACACTTGTGTGACCATTCGCTATTTAGTTTGAACCCCTGGCATCATGTATGAATAAGTGAAAACATTAGAGTAAGTTATGTCCTTATGAGTACGTCATCTGAAAGGGGTTGGGTAGTGTCTCCAAAACAAGCTCTTTCAGTAAACATCATGGGGAAGTCACTTTAACCAGCGATTGTAGTTTCAAATTGCATTTTATGCACTTTAATATCTACGTTTGATTCTAGAGGACTTCTGCCTGTCTCACACACACACTGGGGATCGTGACGCTGGAACATGGCAAAAGCAATTTGCTTAAAGTTGACAGATAATATGTAGAAAATAAAACATAGAAACAGCTGCATTTGCGTAATTCTCTAGGTGAGGCCGACTACTTTTGGGATGCCCCTCGTACCCTTAAAAAAGTAGGGGTACCTGAACTTTAAATTTGGATAAGAGGTATAAGCGTATTGTTCAAAGGCAGACACCCGTGAAGATCCGGGGTAGAATAGGTCTTCAGCAACCAATGCTTGCCACAAAAGGCGACTATGCTTGTTGTAAGAGACGACTAACGGGATCGGTTGGTCAGGCTCGCTGACTTGGTTGACACATGTCATTGGCTCCCAGTTGTGCAGATCGATGCTCATGCTGTTGATCACTGGATTGTCTGGTTCAGACGCGATTATTTACAGACCGCCGCCATATAGCTGGAATATTGCTGAGTGCGGCGTAAAACTAAACTCACTCACTCACTTCAAAGACATCTTAGGAACGCACCGCCAGTTCTCCAAATCACCACCCCTAAACACAATGCATGGGGTGTCATTCTTGATTTTGACGGTTTTCAAGAAGGTTTCAAATCACTGTAGACTATTAATTCTGACAATCATCTTGCATCACACAGTTGGTAGTGTTTGTTTCTAGCCGCAGTTTTTGGTTGAAAATGAAAATTGTACACAAGAAAATTTCACGTCATACACCAGTCATGTTTCAAGAGCGATTACTGTACAAACAACTATGGTCATAAGGAAGCGCAAGCGGTGATGCACTCTCCAAACATTCATTATTATCATATCAACATTGACTGACTCATATATGTCTCCCAATATTTTAAATCGTAAGATAAACATGAAGTTCCTCTATTTTTGTAAAATAGTTTATTTGATGTATTCTTCTGCAGATAGACCCGTGAAGATCCGGGTTAGAACTGATCTTCAGTAACCCATGCTTGTCGTAAGAGGCGACTAACGGGATCGGGTGGTCAGTCTCGCTGACTTGGTTTACACCTGTCATCGGCTCCCAGTTGCGTAGATCGATGCCCATGCTGTTCATCACTGGATCCTCTGGTCCAGACTCGATTATTTACAGACCGCCGCCATACAGCTGGAATATTGCTGAGAGCGGCGTAAAACTAAACTCACTCACTCTTCTGCAGATATACATATATGTCCTAATAAACTACCAGGCAAAGAAAGTTATCACCGACCTCACTTGACCAAAGACTAGAAACAAAGACGTATGTGAGATTTATGATAATTATTGTAAAACATAAATCATTTTCTAATAATTGGACTGAAATTCATTGTATTGCTGGTCATGCATTTGCCGTAATAGCGAGTGTGACGACCCTGGGCACCCATACACGCCAACACACGTCGCCTCATTGACGTCGCCAGTCGGCGAAAAACGAAACATTTCGGAATTCGATGGTGACAGCATAGGATGTGACAGAATAACACCCGGTGTTAAGCTCAACCATTTACATCTACTTTATAGATGCGATGTGGACTTGCAAACCAACCAACCTGGCTGCTTGGTTTGACAGTCCACACCGCATCTATGGTTGGTTTGTTGTTCAACGCCGCACTCAGCAACATTCAAGCAACATTCCAGCAACATTCCAGCTATATGGCGGCGGTCTGCAAATACTCCAGGCTGGTTACAAAACAAGGATTCTTCCGACTTGATGTAGTCGTGACCGCCTGCTTCACTGACGTAACCTTCGGGCTCTGAAGTATCCAATGATGATGTACAAATATTTTTTTCAAACGAGGTTTGTCACTTGTTATGCACACCTGTAATATTCAATGTCGACCAAATACTTTTATGCTGTTGTTTCGCATGATATTGTTAGTCTCAACTAATTTGAGTCGCAGGCTAATGTCAATTACAAATGGCTGACCGAAAACTGACTACGAACTAAACCACACGACAGTTGGAGACACGTATGTCAACATTGATGTCTTGATGAAATAGTGCTTTGTCATTTGTTCAGATCTAAAAAATTATTATCGGATTGACACTCTCAGTAAACTGTGGATGTTGCAGACTGTAGGGTGTAACGGGATCTTAGGCTCCCCCGTCAGGGAGGACAACTGTCGGGTGTGCGGCGGCAACGGCAGCACGTGCATGACGATCTCTGGCCTTTTCACTCGACCACTGCCCAAAGGAGGTAAGCTGTCACCAAAATAATGTTTGTTTCTGTAGAAGCTAAGAAGGTGTTATGCTGGTTGTGTCGAGATAACCCGAAGGCTTGTATATCTCTGTTGTTCCAGCCTACCAAGAAGTAGTTACCATTCCACAGGGAGCTGTACATGTTCGGGTGAGAGAGACACAACAGTCTAAGAACTACTTGGGTGAGTAAAAAACTGGCGGAGAGTTTGAAAATGTGACATTTAATGGAGAAACTGATGGAGCATCCGTATGATTGGCCGCATAATGAGGTCACATCACATTGTGAGCACGTGACAGTCATGGCGACTGAGACCACACAACAGTCATGGCGACTGAGACCACACAAAAGTGTCATGGCTATTGAGACCACACAACAGTCATGGCTATTGAGACCACACAACTGTCATGGCCACTGAGACCACACAGCAGTCATGGCCACTGAGACCACACAACAGTCATGGCCACTGAGACCACACAACAGTCATGGCGACTGAGACCACACAAAAGTGTCATGGCTATTGAGACCACACAACAGTCATGGTCATTGAGACCACACAACTGTCATGGCCACTGAGACCACACAGCAGTCATGGCCACTGAGACCACACAACAGTCATGGCGACTGAGACCACACAACAGTCATGGCCACTGAGACCACACAGCAGTCATGGCCACTGAGACCACACAACAGTCATGGCGACTGAGACCACACAACAGTCATGGCGACTGAGACCACACAACAGTCATAGCGACTGAGACCACACAACTGTCATGGCCACTGAAACCACACAACAGTCATGGCGACTGAGACCACACAACAGTCATGGCGACTGAGACCACACAACTGTCATGGCCACTGAGACCACACAACAGTCATGGCGACTGAGACCACATGGCGACTGAGACCACACAACTGTCATAGCGACTGAGGCCACACAACAGTCATGGCGACTGAGACCACATGGCAACTGACACCACACAACTGTCATGGCCACTGAGACCACACAACAGTCATGGCGACTGAGACCACGCAACAGTCATGGCGACTGAGACCACACAACAGTCATGGCGACTGAGACAACATGGCGACTTAGACCACACAACAGTCATGGCGACTGAGACAACATGGCGACTTAGACCACACAACAGTCATGGTAATTGAGACCACACAACTGTCATAGCGACTGAGGCCACACAACAGTCATGGCGACTGAGACCACATGGCGACTGAGACCACACAACAGTCATGGTAATTGAGACCACACAACAGTCATGGTGACTGAGACCACACAACAGTAATGCCGAAGCTGTTGTGAGTGAGTGAGTGAGTTTAGTTTTACGCCGCTTTTAGCATTCTTCCAGCACTATGATGGCGGGGGACACCAGAATGGGTGAAGCTGCTGTACACATCGCTGTTGTAGTGTGGTAAACAGGGCGTCCCCGCTTTCTCCTCAGCCATGAAGAACATGAAAGACAAGTACCACATCAACGGAGACTGGATCATCGACTGGCCGAGGAAGTTCCTGGTCGCGGGGACGGTGTTCCACTATGAGCGTCCCGAGAGGAGTGAGGAGGGGCTGGAGTCACTGTGGGCGCTGGGGCCTACCAGCGAGGATCTCGTCATCATGGTGGGTGCAACCTCCGTACAATCTCCTTGTCGTGTTAGAACCTTGGAGTCATGTTAGAACCTTGGAGTTATGTTATAACCTTACCTTGGAGTCGTGTTAGAATGTTAGAGTAATGATAGAACCCTGGGGTCGTGTTAGAATGTTGGAGCCATGTTAGAACCCTGGGGTCGTGTTGGAACGTTGGAGTCATGTAAGAAGCTTGGGGTCATGTTAGAAGCTTGGGATCGTGTTAGAAGCTTGAGATCGTGTTAGAAGCTTGGGGTCATGTTAGAGGCTTTGGGTCATGCAAGAAGTTTGGGGTCATGTTAGAATCTTTGGGTTTCATTAGACAGAATTCCCATGCTGAGTGATGGTAAATACATCTGTCTACAAGATGTCGTCTCTTACTGACGCCTTTGTTACAGATGCTGCTCCAGGAAGACAACTTGGGTATAGAATATGAATACAATATACCCGTCAACACCAGCCATAGCAGCCACGACATCTCCCTCTACACCTGGAGCCACTCCCCATGGACCTCCTGCTCCAGGACGTGCGCCAGAGGTAGGGGACACATACACAGTAACGCCACATCTGGCCACTGAGTAATACACACCTGGACATAACTAACTAACACCACGCCTGGTCATACATACCAGAGTAAAACCGCCCCTGGCCATAACTGAGTAACACCGCACCTGGCCATAACTGAGTAACACCGCACCTGGCCATAACTGAGTAACACCACACCTGGCCATAACTGAGTAACACCACACCTACACATAACTGAGTAACACCACACCTACACATAACTGAGTAACACCACACCTACACATAACTGAGTCACACCACACCTACACTTAACTGACAACCATCACACCTACACACAACTGAGTAACACCACACATACACACAACTGAGTAACACCACACCTACACACAACTGAGTAACACCACACCTACACATAACTGAGTAACACCACACCTACACATAACTGACACCAATACACCACAACACCTACACATAACTGAGTAACACCACACCTACACATAACTGAGTAACACCACACCTACACAACTGAGTAACACCACACCTACCACAACTGAGTAACCCACACCTACACATAACTGACAACACCACACCTACACAAACTGACACACCACCTACACATAACTGAGTGACACCACACCTACACATAACTGAGTAACACCACACCTACACATAACTGAGTAACACCACACCTACACACAAACTGACAACCACACCACACCTACACATAACTGGAGTAACACCACACTACCTACACATAACTGAGTAACACCACACCTACACATAACTGAGTAACACCACACCTACACATAACTGAGTAACACCACACCTACACATAACTGACAACCACCACACCTACACACAACTGAGTAACACCACACCTACACACAACTGATTAACACCACACCTACACATAACTGAGTAACACCACACCTACACATAACTGAGTAACACCACACCTACACATAACTGAGTAACACCACACCTACACATAACTGAGTAACACCACACCTACACATAACTGAGTAACACCACACCTACACATAACTGACAACTACCACACCTACACATAACTGAGTAACACCACACATACACATAACTAAGTAACACCACACCTACACATAACTGAGTAACACCACACCTACAGATAACTGAGAACCACCACACCTACACATAACTGAGTAACACCACACCTACACATAACTGACAACTACCACACCTACACATAACTGAGTAACACCACACATACACATAACTGAGTAACACCACACCTACCCACATAACTGAGTAACACCACACCTACAGATAACTGAGAACCACCACACCTACACATAACTGAGGAACACCACACCTGGCCATAACTGAGAACCACCACACCTACACATAACTGAGGAACACCACACCTGGCCATAACTGAGAAACACCACACCTACACATAACTGAGTAACACCACACCTACACATAACTGAGTAACACCACACCTACACATAACTGAGTAACACCGCCTCTTATAATGCCTGGGCACCGAGTTTACACAAGACCTGGCGATTAAGTGATTAAGTGACACCACACTTGGTCATATACTTCGGAATATTCCAGGGGGATTACTTTGCTTTTGTGTTGGTCTTTAAATAATTTGAGTTGTCTGCTTAATGAAGAGGATGGTTACCATCCTGGACCTCCTCAGCAGTGATCCCCAACACCGCTCATCTCCTTTGCATGGAGGACATCGAGCTCTTTGCCAAAGGAGATACCAATTTGAAAGAACAGGATCTCCTTGTCGAGACCTTTTCTAATGATATTGGTATGACATTTGAACTCGACAAACGTAATACTCTTCATGTGAAACGTGGCAAGGTAATTAATGATGGATCGTCAAGTTTCAAGGGGAGGAGTTATTGAACACCTTGTGAAAGATCTGGCCTACACCTATCTTGGAATGCATGTTCGAGACAAGCTCAAGAATGTCCCGATACAAGACAAACTTTGGTCCGAGTATAAAACTCGCTAAAAGAAAATCAGGAGCTCAGAGCTAAATGCTCGAAACAAGGTCAAAGCCACCAATCCTTTGGTGTACCAGTCCTTTCCTATTCCTTTGGAGTAGCTGATTGGAGAAAACAAGATATCCAGAGTCTTGACAGCTTGACCAGAAGGAACATGACTAATAACAGAGCCCACCATCCTCGTTCCTCTCTTAATCCTTTATACATGCCAATCAGTTCTGGAGGCCGGGCTCTGATTAATGTGGAGGCTCTTCATGACAGAATTTTATTGTGTACTTTTGCACATATTTATTTATCGGATGATCCTCTGGTGATGCATGTGAAGACTCATGATGGAAGCAAGGAATTCCACGCTATTGTAATCGTGTCAAGGTTGTTGGACAGAATCTGAAATTTGAGGTTGATTTTGTTGATGGCGATGTACTGCTAGACGGTACAGCAATGGGAATAAACCAGGTGAAGTCCTTCCCCAAGTCTGCCCAGAGTCGGTCATTTCTGGAAATCTTTCTTAGAAGCCATTGCATCATGTGTACATGCAGTGTGTGGAACAGAATAGCAATCCCACCGACTCCTTCGCCTGGATGAAGTCGGCTTGTCTTAAATGTGAAACTGAGGGCTTCCTTTTTGCTGCCCCAAATCAGTCACTTCCCACTCGCAATCGCCAAAATGTGATTCTAAAAGAAAATATTAACATGAAATGTCGACTTTGCAATGAATTTACAGATAGCTTAAACATGATGGCATGGCTCGCTGTTTCTACTACCGTCTTCGCCATGCCTGTGGCTTTGACTCCGAGGTCCATCCATGTCCCTGAACATGTCCAAGGCGTCATGGAAAATGACAGCTTTGGAATAGGCCCATATACTGCCTTAGAAGAATTCCAGTTAACAAACCTGATCTTGTCCTTTTTGATAAAGCCAATGAATGTATTTACATCATTAAATTTTCCATCCCTTTTGACAGCAATATGATTGGAAAGATTCAGGAAAAGCATGCTAAATATGCGGACCTCGCTTTTGAAATGTCTCGCTTGCATCCAAGTACACTGACGTCAGGTTCCCGATTGTTCTCGGTGACCTTTTGGTTCCTCCTGATCTCTTGGCGCACATCAGGAGAGTCTCCGGGTTTTCCGCCAGCAGCACAACCCTTCTGGCACTCTGGGTAATGCAGAAGGCTGCAGTGTTGGGGGGTCTACATATTCTCCGGAAAGTTCTTGGTGGGTTCGACTAGGCTGCATTTCCTGGGAGAAGTCCCATTTGCTGTCTGGGCTGCGTGAAGAGGGGCCAAGAGCCCTGAGCTGATGATGAGCCTTACAAGCCTGACTGTTCCAGGATCACCCGAACCCTCTCTGTTCCTTTTTTCATTTTGAAAAATTGTGAAACATAATAATGAATTGGTATACCGCCTAGTTTCACCTTACGGTGCTCAACGGCGCTGAAATCACAATCTGATTATTGTTACCCCGGATAACCCAAGCTGAGTGTAAGACGCTAGAAGTTTAATAGTAACATAATTCATTCCACCTGGTACTCATTTTCTGCTGGGCGAAAAGAGGCAACTATTTTTAACAAACTCACTTGCCTAAGGTGACACCACATGTATCATATGTGCTTCGTTGTGGGGCACGACTGAAGTCACCCATCCAAGGCATAGCTAAGTAACACACACCTGGTTACACCTGCCACACCTATGTAACACCATGTCTGGGTACGACTGGGCATACCTGAGCAACACCACCCTGGCCACATCTGACTGATAAAGTAACACAACTTCTATTGACCATCATGTTGTAATTAGAATATAGTCTGTAGTTGTTTATGTTTGTGTCGATGCAGGTGTGAGCACGGCGGTTTCGACGTGTGTTAGGAAAGTGGACAATGTACCAGTGGACGACGGCTACTGCTCCCCACAACCTCGACCCAGCAACCACCGGAAGTACTGCAACGAGGAGGCTTGTCCCGCACAGTAGGTCATGCTGTTATATTATCATGTCTTCACCTACGTCATGTCTTCACCTACATTGTATGTGAGGTGATGGCAGTGTGACTGATCGAGAGGTGATTGTAGTGTGACTGTGATCGAGAGGTTAATATAGTGTGCCTGTAATCGAGAGGTGATGGCAGTGTGACTGTCATCGAGAGGTGATGGCAGTGTGACTGTCATCGAGAGGTGATGGCAGTGTGACTGATCGAGAGGTGATTGTAGTGTGACAGTGATCGAGAGGTTAATATAGTGTGACTGTCATCGAGAGGTGATGGCAGTGTGACTGTCATCGAGAGGTTATTCTTTGTGACAGTGATGAAGAGGTGATGGCAATGTGACTATGAGCGAGAGGTGATGGCAATGTGACTATGAGCGAGAGGTGATGGCAATGTGACTGTAATCGAGAGGTGATGGCAGTGTGCCTGTAATCGAGAGGTGATGGCAGTGTGACTGTCATCGAGAGGTGATGGCAGTGTGACTGTCATCGAGAGGTGATGGCAGTGTGACTGTCATCGAGAGGTAAATATAGTGTGCCTGTAATCGAGAGGTGATGGCAGTGTGACTGTGATCGAGAGGTGATTGTAGTGTGACTGTGATCGAGAGGTTAATATAGTGTGCCTGTAATCGAGAGGTGATGGCAGTGTGACTGTCATCGAGAGGTTAATATAGTGTGCCTGTAATCGAGAGGTTAATATAGTGTGCCTGTAATCGAGAGGTGATGGCAGTGTGACTGTCATCGAGAGGTGATGGCAGTGTGACTGTGATCGAGAGGTGATGGCAGTGTGACTGATCGAGAGGTGATGGCAAGTGTGACTGTGATCAGAGGTGATGGCGTGATCGTGAGTGATCGAGAGGTGTGGCGTGTGACTGATGAAGAGGTGATGGCAGGTGACTGATCGAGAGTGTGATGGCAGTGACTGTGATCGAGAGGTGATGGCAGTGTGACTGTGATCGAGAGGTGATGGCAGTGTGACTGTGATCGAGAGGTTAATATAGTGTGCCTGTAATCGAGAGGTGATGGCAGTGTGACTGTGATCAAGAGGTGATGGCAGTGTGACTGATCGAGAGGTGATGGCAGTGTGACTGTGACCGAGAGGTGATGGCAGTGTGACTGATCGAGAGGTGATGGCAATGTGAGTGTGATCGAGAGGTGATGGCAATGTGAGTGTGATCGAGAGGTGATGGCAGTGTGACTGATCGAGAGGTGATGGCAATGTGAGTGTGATCGAGAGGTGATGGCAATGTGAGTGTGATCGAGAGTTGATGGCAATGTGAGTGTGACCGAGAGGTGATGGCAATGTGAGTGTGATCGAGAGGTGATGGCAATGTGAGTGTGATCGAGAGGTGATGGCAATGTGAGTGTGATCGAGAGGTGATGGCAATGTGAGTGTGATCGAGAGGTGATGGCAATGTGACTGTGATCGAGAGGTGATGGCAATGTGACTGTGATCGAGAGGTGATGGCAGTGTGACTGATGGAGAGGTGATGGCAGTGTGACTGATGGAGAGGTGATGACAGTGTGACTGATCGAGAGGTGATGGCAGTGTGACTGATCGAGAGGCAATGACAGGGTGACTGTGGTCGAGAGTTATAGCTGTGTGACTGATCGAGAGGTTATTGTAGTGTGACTGATCGAGAGATTATGACAGTGACTTTATTCGAGAGGTTATTGTTGTGTGACTGATGAAGAGGTGGTGGCAGTGTGACTGATTGAGAAGTTATGGCAGTGTGACTGTGATCGAGAGGGGACTGTGTGGATGATAAATTCCTGTGGTGCGACTGTTGGTCTAGTCTATATATCGTCTTGTCTTCCTCTAGGTGGTCTATAGGCCTGTGGTCCGACTGTTGGTCTAGTGTTTATGTCGCAGGGTTTTAAAACACGACCACTGGGCTGGTGTTCAATGTCTTTATTCTGCCATTTGCCATCGTGGTACAAACACGAGCGTGCCGTAAACCTGTTATAAGGAAATTACGTAGAGGGCTGCCACTGCCAGCATGGTGTGTCTCTTTATAAATCAATACGACAAGTAAAACTATTGTGACATTTTACATAATTATTAGATATAAATAATTATGAAAGTTAATGGTTACTAAACCATTATTAAATATAACTATTTGAATACAGGATTACATCTGACTAATTATGAGAAATTGTTATAATATGAACAATTCAAACAAACTTGTATACCTGTAATAAGGAAATTACGTAGAGGGCTGCCACTGCCAGCATGGTGTGTGCCGGGCACATGGCACATGCAGCTTTTAAATCACCTGAGTGCACAGACTGCAGGAGCAGCATGTGCCAGAGCCCATAATGTACCTGCCGGCAGCCAGCTCAACTATGGCAAGCTGTTAGGGACAACAATTGTGAAATGTGCCAGAGGTGCTGTGCTATACATTGTGTGAATAATTGAACCTGTGACACCTTCCCCTCCTCAGGAAGATGTCGTCCCCGACATTATAAAACATCTGAAATACAATAGAAACTTCAAACATTATTACATGTATTAAAAGAATAATTCCTGAAATGAAATTGGGAATTATACAAATATTTTATCATTTTCATCATTTTGCTGCAAAATATACGCACCACTCCTGAACCAGTCTGGTGGCCTCCTTTCACGATCTGAACGTTGAGGAATAAAAGGACTGGCACCTGGATCAAGACTACAATCTTGGGGAGAACTGGTTGACTTCTGTTCGGAATTCAAAACAATTCCTGAAATGTCATTTACAGTAGCCACTTCAGTGCTATTTACAGTTTCTGTATCTGAAGCACTTGGTTGATCCAAAATATGAGAATCAGCATGATCCAACTCGACAGACGATGACGTGATACCTGGGTTACATTGGTGATCTCCAATATAGAGAAATGGAACTAAATCCTCACTCACATCTTCAGAAGAAATATCTTCAAAATCCATCTCCTTGAGTTGTGTTCTTGTGCGCTGTGCAGGCATGGTCACATCTGGTACAGGTAGAGACATAAAAGGTAGTAGCATATTTCGATGCAATGTCTTTAATTTTTCCATTCTCTTTTCACCACAATACTGGTATGTCCTTATCTGGCCGACTGACAACTGTATATGGGTCACTGGACCAGAAATCTGCCAATTTGTGCTTTCCTTTTAGACCAACGTTTTATCACGAGTACTCTATCTCCTTCTGTAAGAACTGCTTCCCTTACTCTCCTGTCATCTCTTTTTGTGTCTGCATGCAGCTTTACTGGACAATGTTATAAGCATAGTCTAACGTTTTCTTCAACCTGGCTACATACCATACATCTGGATTAATGCCAAGGAAAGCATCTATAGCCAAACGGGAATGTCGCCCAAACATCAGATAGAATGGTGAGTAACCAGTGCTATTATGCCTTGTAGCATTGTATGCATGTACTAATGCGGGAACATACATTTTCCAGTCTGCCTTTCTATCTACCTAACATCTTGAGTAAAGTCTGGTTAAATCGCTCTACCATTCCATTTCCCATTGGGTGATATGGCGATGTGCTAGTCTTGACAGTGCCAGCCAGTTTACAGAGGGCTTTGATAACCTTTGACTCAAAATTGCGACCTTGATCACTATGTAGCTGTGCTGAAAACCCATAATGAAGAAAGAAATCAAATAATGCCTTAGCTGTTGTAGTAGCTGTTTGATTCCTGGTGGGAACTGCATGTGCAAATCTCGTAAAATGATCAGTAATCACGAGAATATTCCCACATCCACCTGCTTCCTCAAGAGAAAGGTAATCTACACAAACTAATTCCATAGGTTGACTTGTAGAAATATTCACAAGTGGAGCTGCAACTTGATTACGAGAACATTTTCTGCGAATACATCTACCACAAAGCCTGATCTTTGTTTCGACATCTGTGGACAACCCTGGCCAATAAAAACTGAACTAAATCTACTGTTCTGTCTCGACCCTGATGTCCCATGTCATCATGTAGCGCATCCAAAACTAATTTCCTCCATTGTGTTGGCAATACAAGTTGATATCTCAAATCACCTTGATGGAACTTTTTTCTGTATAAAACACCATCCCTAACCACAAGTTTGCAAACTAGACGAACAGTTGGTTTTCTTCCCTTTGTGACATAATATATCACTTTGCCAACATCCAGATCTTTAGACTGTTCTAAGACCCAATCTACATTCCTAAAAGGAACAGTACTCTCCTCCACAACATCTGGTGAAGTTGCCAAACATTCAACCATATTCACAGACTAAGAACCACAAATAGCCTTAACAACATTGGACTGAATATCTGTAGCAGAAAAGTTTGGTTGACGAGATAAAGCATCTGCATCCTTGTTAGCTTTTCCTGCACGATAGATAATCTTAAAGTCATATGTTGACAATGCTGCAAGCCACCTGTGCCCTGTCGCGTCTAACTTGGCTGTTGACAAGACATATGTGAGGGGATTATTATCAGTTCTAACCTCAAAATGATTGCCATATAGATACTCATGAAACTTATCACACACAGCCCATTTGAGTGCCAAAAACTCCAATTTATGTGCTGGATAATTTTTCTCTGATTTCCTCAATGCACGACTAACAGAAGCAATCACTCGTTCCTTGTCATCTTGATGCTGATACAAAACTGCCCCCAAACCTTCACTACTGGCATCTATATTGAGAATAAAGGGTTTAGAATAATCAGCATACGCAAGTACTGGTGGTGAAGTTAAACACTCTATCAGCTGATTAAAAGCTGCTTGATGTTCACAAGTTTTGGCTTTACCTTTCTCCAGTTTTCCAAGAAGTAAATCAGTCAGAGGTTTGGCCACTCTCGCATAATTCTGAACTAACCGACGGTAATAACCAGTGAAACCTAGAAATTTCTGCAACTCCTTGACAGTTTCAGGAACTGGCCATGATTTCAAAGATTCAACCTTATCTGGATCAGTTTCTACTCCTTCTGAGGATACAACATGCCCAAGATACTTGACCCTGTTTCTGGAGATTTCACATATGGACGGCTTTAACTTCAAACCATGTTCCCGAAATACAGATTCAACTCTGGTCAAGTGTTGTTCAAAAGTTTGTAAAAATATGATTATATCATCCAGATAGATCAAACATTCTTTCAGGTGTAAATCGCCCATACATCTCTCCATTAACCTCTGAAACGTTGCTGGGGCGTTGGTCAAACCAAAAGGCATCCTATTGCATTCAAAATATCCCAAGGGACCTGCTGTTTTCTTCTTATCTGATTCACGTAATTCTACTTGCCAGTAACCTGAACTTAAATCAAGCTTTGAAAACCATTTTGATCCAACAAGACAATCTAAAGTTTCGTCAATCCTTGGCAAGGAATAGGAATCCCGAATGCTTTTAGCAATAATCTTTCTCATGTCAATGCATACTCTTAGACTGCCGTCCCTCTTACGAACCCATACACTATTTGAAGAATAAGGGCTATGACTTTCACGAATGGCTCTACACTCAAGCATATTCTTAAGATGTTGCCTAACTTCCTCAAATAAAGCCGGGGGTATTCTACGGTATGGTTCCTTGAAAGGCACATCATCCATAAGATTGATCTCATGTCTAACTGTTGTAGTATGGCCCAAGTCTAGAGAATGCGGAGACATAATATCTGTCCACCGACAAAGCATATCCTGTACTTGACCTCTTTGATCACCAGACAAGGGGCTATCTGCTAAATCAATAGTAACAGGCTTCTCATCCATAGCACCGACTGAAGAATCATCACTATCATCTTCCAAATCCAAAGGCAAACAATCCATAACCTGAACCTCTTGCAAACTACATAGCTCTGCTTTGCGAGGAAGTGTAATAGTTCTAGCAGACAAATTGCAAACCTTGACAGACAATAGCAGTCTTACGCTGACCATCAATTTCTACAACTCTAGGACAAACACCCAAACCCTCAGGGCTAATCTGTAACTGCTCCGTCACAGCACAGTGTTTACCTGGACTAGTTTGCACTATACCCTTCAAAGTGGTCGCCACCATAGGTTGCAGAGTAATCGGATGCTTATTGGACGACTTCACAGTAACTAAACTAGCCGAGCTTAAGTAATCAAATACCATCTGCCACGGCTATGAGACAATCTGAGGTGCCTTACAATAGAACAATCTAATAGTGTTTGTACCAAGAATCATCGGAACCTGGGCACTAAACTCAGTATCCTTGACTACCAACACTGGTACCATGCAAGTTCTATCATTAAATGGGACACCAACGGAGAGTTCAATATAGCCAATGTACGGGAGTATATCACCAGTAGCGCCGCTAACCTTCAACTGAAACTCTTCTATGGGACGTAACCTAAGATCATTTAAGTTCTGATAGTAGAAAGACTCTGAAACGGTAGTAACTTGAGATCCAGTATCTAGCAAAACAAGACATTCATCGCCATTGACAAGAACAACAGTTTGTACACTAGGGCCTACCATTCTAGAAAACAAATCATTGGAGCGATCGCCTTCACCGATAGCTGTTTGCTCCTCAACAGAAGTCTTTAATGGTTTAAATCTGTATGACCATGATCACCAATAATTCCTCTACCACGACCATGCCCACGAGGATTACCTGAAGGATTAGACGGACCAACTTTACTTTCAATAGCAGCTAATCTCTGTACGATCTCACTGACATCTTTTTCTAGCTCCGATGAAGTAGACTGACTCAACGCCTTCTGATTCTTTTCTAAGGTATCAATTCTCTTGAGAATATCCTTTAAGTGTTGAGAAACATCTGAATCAACAACTTGAAAACTAGTATACACTTTCTGGTGTCTAACATCCTTGACCATAACAGATCCAGTAAGTTCCTGTTCTGTTTCCCTGACAACTCTGAGTAAAGAATCCAAATCTGAACAATTATCAAACTTATGCCTTGTTGCATCCTTCAGTCTATCATTCCTTATACCACTCCAAAACTTTGTTTTCAAGATACACTCAAGAGCATCCTCATGTATAAAGTCACCCTTTGATTTAACTTTCAACAAAGTGTCTTGAAGTCTACAGGACCAAGTTGCCAACGATTCACCCTCCTTCTGGCAATCAGTGAAAAAATTCTGCAGCAACGTATCAGCTGAACTAACACCATAAATACTGTCAAGCTTACTCAAAATGTCATCCACTGATGCATGTTCACCAAGCAAAAGGACAGCTCTACCGGTTTCACCCTTTATCGACTTCCTAACGCCCTGTGCTAAGATAGAGGCTGGATAATCCCTACTATTCAAACACTTAACCTCAAACATCCAATTCTCAAACGAAGACTCCCCCTTGGCATCACTACCTAAGAATACAGATATACGGGGTGGTTGAATGTATTGTGTGTTAGGTGGTAACAAAGAACTTGCCCGATGCCTGGGACTGGACGGTTGAACCTGATATCCTGAAGTCTCTATGTACTTGATCATCTTCTGAATATCATCCTCACTAACTCCAGCCTTGCTACGTTTGGATTCCCAATCCTCTTCAGTTCCGCCAGTGGCCATTGCTGAAAGGATCAGTGATAAAAGTAGACAAATAAATACAAGTCCTGAAAATCTAGAATACATCAGTCAGCAAACATCAAAATTCCACTAATAATGATAAGAATCACATCTGGTTCCCCAAGACTGTCAGCTCTGAAAACAAAGTCAAGTATTAACAACATGGTATCAAATCGTGTTCATAATTCAAAATGTGCAATGCAGTTAGGCATGTGATAATTTCCTTATGACAATTCTCACACTCGCACCAAGCTTTCAATCTCCTATCAAAAGTCAAAGCTAAGATGCACTAGCAAAACATTTCAAAGCCTATTCACTATATAAATCATATAAAATAATATTCAACTATTCCGAAACATGAAAGCAGTAATGTCACAACCCAGAACTACTTCACATATTTCTTCAGTGGCATGTTAAACAAATGGCACAATAAACATTAAACACATGTGAAATTCAAATAAGCATTCTATAGTGAACAGCTGAAAAAGAAACAGAATGGTCAATACATTGATCAAATGTTCAACTCAACGTCAACGTTCAATGTCAACTTCCACACGCGGAAACACGAAGCAATCCATGGATAGTATTCACAGAATAACACAAGTGAAAGTCATTCCAAAATGTCAAATAAAATGTCTGTTCACAATAATATGTACATCGCGAACGCGAAACGCGAGTGTGCACACCTAGACGGGTAGTACTAGTACTCGACGTACTGTTAATAGTACTACTGCCGGCAACGTATCATGATGTTATCGGGCCCTACCACAAAACCTGGTCACCAGAACACTGACAGGAATACTGTATCCATCGATGAAACGATGCCCATGGCCAGTGGTTAAAGCTGTCATGATGTTGTGGCAGTCATGTACATTGTAGTTATGGCGGTCATGTTGTTGTTGAGAACACCAGCCCCCACGTTGGGCGCCAAAATGTCGCAGGGTTTTAAAACACGACCACTGGGCTGGTGTTCAATTTCTTTATTCTGCCATTTGCCATCGTGGTACAAACACGAGCGGGCCGTAAACCTGTAATAAGGAAATTACGTAGAGGGCTGCCACTGCCAGCATGGTGTGTGCCGGGCACATGGCACATGCAGCTTTTATATCACCTGAGTGCACAGACTGCAGGAGCAGCATGTGCCAGAGCCCATAATGTACCTGCCGGCAGCCAGCTCAACTATGGCAAGCTGTTAGGGACAACAATTGTGAAATGTGCCAGAGGTGCTGTGCTATACATTGATATCGTCTTGTCTTCCTGTAAGTGGTCTATAGGCCTGTGGTCCGACTGTTGGTCTAGTGTTTATATCGTCTTGTCTTCCTCTAGGTGGTCTATAGGCCTGTGGTCCGACTGTTGGTCTAGTGTTTATATCGTCTTGTCTTCCTGTAGGTGGTCCATAGGCCTGTGGTCCGACTGTTGGTCTAGGGTTTATATCGTCTTGTCTTCCTGTAGGTGGTCTATAGGCCTGTGGTCCGACTGTTGGTCTAGTGTTTATATCGTCTTGTCTTCCTCTAGGTGGTCTATAGGCCTGTGGTCCGACTGTACCGCGACCTGTGGCGGGGGAAGAAAGACACGAACTGTTGCGTGTGTACAGAGCGTCACAGAGACGGAGCAGGTAGTGCAGGACGACGCCCAGTGTAAGAGCAACAAGCCCCTGTCCCAGAAAAAGTGCGGAACCCGGGAGTGTCCATCAGTGTGGTTCACGGAGGAATGGGCGGAGGTGAGGTGTAGACATGAGAGAACAGAGGGGTGGGGGTATGAGGGTGGCGGACGCTGGAGGAGAACTGAAGGTGAGACCTGGGAGGAGAACTGAGGGTGAGACCTAGGAGGAGAACTGGGGGTGAGACCTAGGATGAGAACTGAGGGTGAGACCTAGGAGGAGAACTGAGGGTGAGACCTGGGAGGAGAACTAAGGGTGAGACTTGGGAGAACTGAAGGTGAGACCTTGGAGCAGAGCTGAGGATGAGACTCGGGAGGAGAACTGAGGGTGAGACTCGGGAGGAGAACTGAGGGTGGGACTCGGGAGGAGAACTGAAGGTGAGACTCGGGAGGAGAACTGAGGGTGAGACCTTGGAGGAGAACTGAGGGTGAGACCTTGGAGCAGAACTGAGGATGAGACTCGGGAGGAGAACTGAGGGTGAGACTTGGGAGGAGAACTGAGGGAGAGTTTTTTTTACCTATACGCCAAACGGAATCTGTTTCTGTCAAGAGAGGGTAATACTATTCTTTTGCAATCATTTACTTACAATGGTGATTGCAGTGTAATCCCAGCTGCGGGCCTGGCGAGAAGAGTCGCCGTGTGTTCTGTATGACAACTGATGGGAAGACGTATGTCGACGAGGATAACTGTGACGCCGCCGAAAAACCGTCCACGAGGATGCCGTGCATCAACCAGAAATGTCCACCGCCTCAGTGGGTGACGGGCGAGTGGGGGCCGGTGAGCGCCATAGTTTGGGGAGGGGGAGTTTGTTAACCTATAGCTAACCCAAGTACCTGTTTCTTGCCCACCCCGTGTCTTTTCATCTGCTTAAATCCGATTTTAACAGGGACATTGTATGTGTAATGCATATTTTACAATTTTATCCAGATATGGTCATTCACTGTCATGCGGTGATGTTTCTGTTTGTTAGGTTATACCCTACAGGTACAAGTCGATACAATGAATAGTTCACTAGTGGGGCAGGGATCTGAACCCGAACCATCCACGGCGAGTTGCTGTAGCTTACACCAGGGGGTTACACACCAAACATTCGTAAACTGATTCTTAACTGAACATGCCATGAAATACCGCTCACCTGTGGTGTTGTAGTGTTCCCCTGAGTGTGGGCTGGGCCAGCAGAGACGCAACGCGCAATGTCGAGCCTTCTCCGGCCAAGCCAGCAGCGAGTGTACTGTCAAGGCGAAGCCGGACACAATCAGACGCTGTGACAGCAGCTGCGAACCTGACGACGAGGACGGTGAGAACATGTTGACACCGTAAATAAGGACTCCCTCCATATAACGGACCTTGATATCAGCACCTTAAATAACGACTCCCTCCATATAACGGGCGTTAATGTCAACACCTTATATAATGTTGTGTAATGGTGACACGGGTGATTGTGATAAGGTTGTGTAATGGCGACACGGATGTTTATGATAATGTTGCGTAATGGCGACACAGGTGTTTATGATAATGTTGTGTAATGGTGACACATATGTTGATGATAATGTTGTTTAATGCCGACACAGGTGTTATGATAATGTTGTGTAATGGCGACACAGGTGTTTATGATAATGTTGTGTAATGGCGACGCGGGTGTTTATGATAATGTTGTGTAATGGCGGCACGGGTGTTTATGATAATGTTGTGTAATGGCGGCACGGGTGTTTATGATAATGTTGTGTAATGGCGACACAGGTGTTTATGATAATGTTGTGTAATGGCAACGTGGGTGTTTATGATAATGTTGTGTAATGGTGACACAGGTGTTTATGATAATGTTGTGTAATGGCGACACAGGTGTTTATGATAATGTTGTGTAATGGCGATGTTGGTGTTTCTGATAATGTTGTGTAATGGTGACACAGGTGTTTATGATAATGTTGTGTAATGGCGACACAGGTGTATATGATAATGTTGTGTAATGGTGACACATATGTTGATGATAATGTTGTTTAATGCCGACACAGGTGTTATGATAATGTTGTGTAATGGCGACGCGGGTGATTGTGATAATGTTGTGTAATGCCGACACAGGTGTTATGATAATGTTGTGTAATGGCGATGTTGGTGTTTCTGATAATGTTGTGTAATGGTGATGCGGGTGTTTATGATAATGTTGTGTAATGGCGACACAGGTGTTTCTGATAATGTTGTGTAATGGCGATGCGGGTGTTTATGATAATGTTGTGTAATGGCGATGCGGGTGTTTATGATAATGTTGTGTAATGGTGATGTTGGTGTTTATGATAATGTTGTGTAATGGCGACGTGGGTGTTTATGATAATGTTGTGTAATGGCGACGTGGGTGTTTATGATAATGTTGTGTAATGGCGACACAGGTGTTTATGATAATGTTGTGTAATGGCGACGTGGGTGTTTATGATAATGTTGTGTAATGGCGACGCGGGTGTTTATGATAATGTTGTGTAATGGCGACACAGGTGTTTATGATAATGTTGTGTAATGGCAACGTGGGTGTTTATGATAATGTTGTGTAATGGTGACACAGGTGTGTTTATGATAATGTTGTGTAATGGCGACACAGGTGTTTATGATAATGTTGTGTAATGGTGACACATATGTTGATGATAATGTTGTTTAATGCCGACACAGGTGTTATGATAATGTTGTGTAATGGCGACGCGGGTGATTATGATAATGTTGTGTAATGCCGACACAGGTGTTTATGATAATGTTGTGTAATGGCGATGTTGGTGTTTCTGATAATGTTGTGTAATGGTGATGCGGGTGTTTATGATAATGTTGTGTAATGGCGACACAGGTGTTTCTGATAATGTTGTGTAATGGCGATGCGGGTGTTTATGATAATGTTGTGTAATGGCGATGCGGGTGTTTATGATAATGTTGTGTAATGGTGATGTTGGTGTTTATGATAATGTTGTGTAATGGCGATGTGGGTGTTTATGATAATGTTGTGTAATGGCGACGTGGGTGTTTATGATAATGTTGTGTAATGGCGACGGGGTGTTTATGATAATGTTGTGTAATGGCGACGTGGGTGTTTATGATAATGTTGTGTAATGGCGACGCGGGTGTTTATGATAATGTTGTGTAATGGCGATGCGGGTGTTTATGATAATGTTGTGTAATGGCGACGTTGGTGTTTATGATAATGTTGTGTAATGGCGACGTGGGTGTTTATGATAATGTTGTGTAATGGCGACGTGGGTGTTTATGATAATGTTGTGTAATGGCGACGGGTGTTTATGATAATGTTGTGTAATGGCAACGTGGGTGTTTATGATAATGTTGTGTAATGGCGACGCGGGTGTTTATGATAATGTTGTGTAATGGCGACGTGGGTGTTTATGATAATGTTGTGTAATGGCGACATAGGTGTTTATGATAATGTTGTGTAATGGCGACGTGGGTGTTTATGATAATGTTGTGTAATGGCGACATAGGTGTTTATGATAATGTTGTGTAATGGCGGCGTGCATGTTTATGATAATGTTGTGTAATGGCGACGCGGGTTTTTATGGTAACATTGTGTTATAGCCACTCTTGTGCTTGCAGTGTGCGAGGACAAGTACAAGGTTGCCTACTGCCCCCTGGTTCTCAAGTTCCAGTTCTGTGACCGGGAGTACTTCCAGAAGATGTGCTGCAAGACTTGCTCTGCCCTCAAAAACAAAACTGGTTAAATTTCACGTTTGATTTATTATAAATCTGGGAAACTCGTGTGGTTCAAATATTTTTCAGCTGAGATTTTGAGAGCCGAAACGAAATTGTTCACTGGAACGAACATGAACCGGTTTGACTGTGTTTCGCCATTAGGACCAGTATAATGTAGACCACATGATGTGTCCGGGATGACGACATGATGTGTCCGGGCTGACCACATGATGTGTCCGGGCTGACCACATGATGTGTCCAGGATGACAGTGCTGAGATACAGAGATGTAGCATCCTGGTCCGCCAGCGGGGAGCACGTCTTGCATGGAATAGCGTGTGTCCAACTCACTGTACTTGTGGCCAGGACATGTCTGTTTCAAATACCAACTTTACTGAGTTGGATGTCAGTACCGAATACAGCGTAGCACAGTAAGGAGTGTACCTGGTCAATATAACGTCAAATATTCAACAGTCAGGTGTACAGTATGTGTACCTAGTCAATATAACGTCAAATATTCAACAGTCGGGTGTACAGTATGTGTACCTGGTCAATATAACGTCAAATATTCAACAGTCAGGTGTACAGTATGTGTACCTAGTCAATATAACGTCAAATATTCAACAGTCAGGTGTACAGTATGTGTACCTAGTCAATATAACGTCAAATCTTCTACACTCAGGTGTACAGTATGTGTACCTGGTCAATATAACGTCAAATATTCAACACTCAGGTGTACAGTATGTGTACCTAGTCAATATAACGTCAAATCTTCAACACTCAGGTGTACAGTATGTGTACCTGGTCAATACAACGTCAAATCTTCAACACTCAGGTGTACAGTATGTGTACCTGGTCAATATAACGTCAAATATTCAACAGTCAGATTGTACGGTATGTGTACCTGGTCAATATAACGTCAAATCTTCAACACTCAGATGTACAGTATGTGCACCTGGTCAATATAACGTCAAATCTTCAACACACAGGTGTACAGTATGTGTACCTAGTCAATATAACGTCAAATATTCAACACTCAGGTGTACAGTATGTGTACCTAGTCAATATAACGTCAAATCTTCAACAGTCAGGTGTACAGTATGTGTACCTGGTCAATACAACGTCAAATCTTCTACACTCAGGTGTACAGTATGTGTACCTAGTCAATACAACGTCAAATCTTCAACACACAGGTGTACAGTATGTGTACCTAGTCAATATAACGTCAAATATTCAACACTCAGGTGTACAGTATGTGTACCTGGTCAATATGACGTCAAATATTCAACAGTCAGGTGTACAGTATGTGTACCTGGTCAATATAATGTCAAATCTTCAACACTCAGGTGTACAGTATGTGTACCTGGTCAATATAACGTCAAATATTCAACACACAGGTGTACAGTATGTGTACCTAGTCAATATAACGTCAAATATTCAACAGTCAGGTGTACAGTATGTGTACCTAGTCAATATAACGTCAAATTTTCAACACTCAGGTGTACAGTATGTGTACCTAGTCAATACAACGTCAAATCTTCTACATTCAGGTGTACAGTATGTGTACCTGGTCAATATAACGTCAAATATTCAACAGTCAGGTGTACAGTATGTGTACCTGGTCAATATAACGTCAAATATTCAACAGTCAGGTGTACAGTATGTGTACCTGGTCAATATAACGTCAAATATTCAACAGTCAGGTGTACAGTATGTGTACCTGGCCAATACAACGTCAAATCTTCAACAGTCAGGTGCACAGTATGTGTACCTGGTCAATATAACGTCAAATATTCAACAGTCGGGTGTACAGTATGTGTACCTGGTCAATACAACGTCAAATATTCAACAGTCAGGTGTACAGTATGTGTACCTAGTCAATATAACGTCAAATATTCAACACTCAGGTGTACAGTATGTGTACCTAGTCAATACAACGTCAAATATTCAACACTCGGGTGTACAGTATGTGTACCTGGTCAATATAACGTCAAATATTCAACAGTCGGGTGTACAATATGTGTACCTGGTCAATATAACGTCAAATATTCAACAGTCAGGTGTACAGTATGTGTACCTGGTCAATATAACGTCAAATATTCAACAGTAAGGTGTACAGTATGTGTACCTAGTCAATATAACGTCAAATATTCAACACTCAGGTGTACAGTATGTGTACCTGGTCAATACAACGTCAAATATTCAACACTCAGGTGTACAGTATGTGTACCTAGTCAATCTTCAGGAGGTGCATGGTATGTTTACATAGTCATTATAGTATCCAACCGTCAACTGTATACCATTCCAGTATTAATGCAGTCATGGAATGTTTGAGAACTAGTAAACAGTACGTTGTTCACAATATGGTTAACAAATGTTCTTCTGGTTGGAGTGGCTACAAGTGATTGAGTTCGGCCTGGGATGTCCCGGACGGTCTTCTTGCCTGACTTTGTGATCATCATCTGCGGGAATGTTTCTGTCCAGAACGTATATATATGTTGAAGACATTGGCAGAAGAGACAGTTGGTGATTAATAATTAGAGTAGGGTTTATCGTGTAGCGAATGTGAAAGATTTCTTTCATTAGACGTGAGAAATAAATACAGTCAGTTCTGTTTAACATGTACGCACAACTGTTTTGTTTTCTTATTATCTCCAGTAACATTTCCGGTTACGTTGCTTTGGGCCAATATGAAACGTCAACACACAACATGCCTCGGACTTACATTTCATTAAAGAGTTGCGTAACTTATACACGTCAGGATACGTTGATGACGTAAGCTGAGCCCAAAGATAATTCTCGTGTCAGTACCATACCCCCAATAATTGGTGTCAGTAGAGTCCATACCCCCAGTTGTTGGTATCAGTAGAGTCGATACCCCCAATTATTGGTTTCAGTAGAGTCCATATCCCCATTTGTTGGTTTCAGCAGAGTAATTACCCCCACCCCCCACCCCAATAGCTGGTGCCAGTAGAGTCCATACCCCCCAATAGCTGGTGTCAGTAGAGTCCATACCCCCCAATAGATGGTGTCAGTAGAGTCCATGCCCCCCAATAGTTAGTGTCAGTAGAGTCCATGCCCCCAATTATTGGTTTCAGTAGAGTCCATATCCCCAGTTGTTGGTTTCAGCAGAGTCCATACCCCCAATAGTTGGTTTCAGCAGAGCCCATATCCCGAGTTGTTGGTTTCAGCAGAGTCCATACCCCCCCCACCCCAATAGTTGGTGTCAGAAGAGTCCATACCCCCCAATAGATGGTGTCAGTAGAGTCCATATCCCCAGTTGTTGGTTTCAGCAGAGTCAATACCCCAATAGTTGGTGTCAGAAGAGTCCATATCCCCAATAGCTGGTGTCAGAAGAGTCCATACCCCCAATAGCTGGTGTCATAAGAGTCCATACCCCCAATAGATGGTGTCAGTAGAGTCCATACCCCCTAATAGCTGGTGTCAGTAGAGTCCATATCCCCAATAGTTGGTGTCAGAAGAGTCCATACCCTCAATAGATGGTTTCAGTAGAGTCCATATCCCCAATAGTTGGTGTCAGTAGAGTCCATATCCCCAATAGTTGGTGTCAGAAGAGTCCATACCCCCAAAAGCTGGTGTCAGAAGAGTCCATACTCCCAATAGCTGGTGTCAGTAGAGTCCATATCCCCAATAGTTGGTGTCAGAAGAGTCCATATCCCCAATAGTTGGTTTGAGAAGAGTCCATATCCCCAATAGTTGGTGTCAGAAGAGTCCATACCCCAATAGATGGTGTCAGTAGAGTCCATATCCCCAATAGTTGGTGTCAGAAGAGTCCATACCCCCAATAGATGGTTTCAGTAGAGTCCATGCCCCCAGTTGTTGGTTTCAGTAGAGTCCATGCCCCCAGTTGTTGGTTTTAGTAGAGTCCATATCCCCAAGAGTTGGTTTCAGAAGAGTCCATACCCCCAATAGCTGGTGTCAGTAGAGTCCATATCCCCAATAGTTGGTGTCAGAAGAGTCCATACCCCCAATAGATGGTTTCAGTAGAGTCCATGCCCCCAGTTGTTGGTTTCAGTAGAGTCCATGCCCCCAGTTGTTGGTTTTAGTAGAGTCCATATCCCCAATAGTTGGTGTCAGAAGAGTCCATGCCCCCAATAGCTGGTGTCAGTAGAGTCCATATCCTCAATAGTTGGTGTCAGAAGAGTCCATACCCCCAATAGATGGTTTCAGTAGAGTCCATGCCCCCAGTTGTTGGTTTCAGTAGAGTCCGTGCCCCCAGTTGTTGGTTTTAGTAGAGTCAATGCCCCCAGTTGTTGGTTTCAGTAGAGTCCATGCCCCCAGTTGTTGGTTTCAGTAGAGTCCATGCCCCCAGTTGTTGGTTTTAGTAGAGTCAATGCCCCCAGTTGTTGGTTTCAGTAGAGTCCATGCCCCCAGTTGTTGGTTTTAGTAGAGTCCATGCCCCCAGTTGTTGGTTTTAGTAGAGTCAATGCCCCCTGTTGTTGATTTTAGTAGAGTCCATGCCCCCAGTTGTTGGTTTTAGTAGAGTCAATGCCCCCAGTTGTTGGTTTCAGTAACGTCCATGCCCCCAGTTGTTGGTTTCAGTAGAGTCCATGCCCCCAGTTGTTGGTTTTAGTAGAGTCCATGCCCCCAGTTGTTGGTTTCAGTAGAGTCCATGCCCCCAGTTGTTGGTTTCAGTAGAGTCCATGCCCCCAATAGATGGTGTCAGTAGAGTCCATGCCCCCAGTTGTTGGTTTTAGTAGAGTCCATGCCCCCAGTTGTTGGTTTCAGTAGAGCCCATGCCCCCAGTTGTTGGTTTTAGTAGAGTCCATGCCCCCAGTTGTTGGTTTTAGTAGAGTCCATGCCCCCAGTTGTTGGATTTAGTAGAGTCCATGCCCCCAATAGATGGTTTCAGTAGAGTCCATGCCCCCAGTTGTTGGTTTCAGTAGAGTCCATGCCCCCAATAGATGGTGTCAGTAGAGTCCATGCCCCCAGTTGTTGGTTTCAGTAGAGTCCATGCCCCCAATAGATCGTTCCAGTAGAGTCCATGCCCCCAGTTGTTGATTTTAGTAGAGCCCATGCCCCCAGTTGCTGGTTTTAGTAGAGTCCATACCCCCAGTTGTTGGTTTCAGTAGAGTCCATGCCCCCAGTTGTTGGTTTCAGTAGAGTCCATACCCCCAATAGATGGTGTCAGTAGAGTCCATGCCCCCAGTTGTTGGTTTTAGTAGAGTCCATGCCCCCGGTTGTTGGTTTTAGTAGAGTCCATACCCCCAGTTGTTGGTTTTAGTAGAGTCAATGCCCCCAGTTGTTGGTTTCAGTAGAGTCCATGCCCCCAGTTGTTGGTTTCAGTAGAGTCCATGCCCCCAGTTGTTGGTTTTAGTAGAGTCCATGCCCCCAGTTGTTGGTTTTAGTAGAGTCCATGCCCCCAGTTGTTGGTTTCAGTAGCGTCCATGCCCCCAGTTGTTGGTTTCAGTAGAGTCCATGCCCCCAGTTGTTGGTTTCAGTAGAGTCCATGCCCCCAATAGATGGTGTCAGTAGAGTCCATGCCCCCAGTTGTTGGTTTCAGTAGAGTCCATGCCCCCAATAGATCGTTCCAGTAGAGTCCATGCCCCCAGTTGTTGATTTTAGTAGAGCCCATGCCCCCAGTTGCTGGTTTTAGTAGAGTCCATACCCCCCCCAGTTGTTGGTTTCAGTCAGTAGAGTCCATGCCCCCAGTTGTTGGTTTCAGTAGAGTCCATACCCCCAATAGATGGTGTCAGTAGAGTCCATGCCCCCAGTTGTTGGTTTTAGTAGAGTCCATGCCCCCCAGGTTGTTGGTTTTAGTAGAGTCCATACCCCCAGTTGTTGGTTTTAGTAGAGTCCATGCCCCAGTTGTTGGTTTCAGTAGAGTCCATGCCCCCAGTTGTTGGTTTCAGTAGAGTCCATGCCCCCCAGTTGTTGGTTTTAAGTAGAGTCCATACCCCCAGTTCTTGGAGTTTTAGTAGAGTCCATGCCCCCAGTTGTTGGTTTCAGTCAGTAGCGTCCATGCCCCCCCCCAGTTGTTGGTTTCCATGCCCCCAGTAGAGTCCATGCCCCAGTTGTTGGTTTCAGTAGAGTCCATGCCCCAATAGATGGTGTCAGTAGAGTCCATGCCCCCAGTTGTTGGGTTTCAGTAGAGTCCATGCCCCAATAGATCGTTTCCCAGTAGAGTCCATGCCCCAGTTGTTGATTTTAGTAGAGCCCATGCCCCAGTTGCTGGTTTTAGTAGAGTCCATACCCCCAGTTGTTGGTTTCAGTAGAGTCCATGCCCCAGTTGTTGGTTTCAGTAGAGTCCATACCCCAATAGATGGTGTCAGTAGAGTCCATGCCCCCAGTTGTTGGTTTTAGTAGAGTCCATGCCCCCGGTTGTTGATTTTAGTAGAGTCCATAACCCCAGTTGTTGGTTTTAGTAGAGTCAATGCCCCCAGTTGTTGGTTTCAGTAGAGTCAATGCCCACTGTTGTTGATTTTAGTAGAGTCCATGCCCCCAGTTGTTGGTTTTAGTAGAGTCAATGCCCCCAGTTGTTGGTTTCAGTAACGTCCATGCCCCCCCAGTTGTTGGTTTCAGTAGAGTCCATGCCCCCAGTTGTTGGTTTTAGTAGAGTCCATGCCCCAGTTGTTGGTTTCAGTAGAGTCCATGCCCCCAGTTGTTGGTTTCAGTAGTAGAGTCCATACCCCCAGTTGTTGGTTTCAGTAGAGTCCATGCCCCCAGTCCATGCCCCAAATAGATGGTGTCAGTAGAGTCCATGCCCCCAGTTGTTGGTTTTAGTAGAGTCCATGCCCCCAGTTGTTGGTTTCAGTAGAGCCCATGCCCCCAGTTGTTGGTTTTGCCCCAGTAGAGTCCATGCCCCCAGTTGTTGGTTTTAGTAGAGTCCATGCCCCCAGTTGTTGGTTTTAGTAGAGTCCATGCCCCCAATAGATGGTTTCAGTAGAGTCCATGCCCCCAGTTGTTGGTTTCAGTAGAGTCCATGCCCCCAATAGATGGTGTCAGTAGAGTCCATGCCCCCAGTTGTTGGTTTCAGTAGAGTCCATGCCCCCAATAGATCGTTTCAGTAGAGTCCATGCCCCCAGTTGTTGATTTTAGTAGAGCCCATGCCCCCAGTTGCTGGTTTTAGTAGAGTCCATACCCCCAGTTGTTGGTTTTAGTAGAGTCCATGCCCCCAGTTGTTGGTTTCAGTAGAGTCCATACCCCCAATAGATGGTGTCAGTAGAGTCCATGCCCCCGTTGTTGGTTTTAGTAGAGTCCATGCCCCCCCAGGTTGTTGGTTTTAGTAGAGTCCATACCCCCAGTTGTTGGTTTTAGTAGAGTCAATGCCCCCAGTTGTTGGTTTCCCAGTAGAGTCCATGCCCCAGTTGTTGGTTTCAGTAGAGTCCATGCCCCCAGTTGTTGGTTTTAGTAGAGTCCATGCCCCCAGTTGTTGGTTTTAGTAGAGTCCATGCCCCCAGTTGTTGGTTTCAGTAGAGTCCATGCCCCCAGTTGTTGGTTTCAGTAGAGTTGCCCCCAGTTGTTGGTTTTAGTAGAGTCCATACCCCCAGTTGTTGGTTTTAGTAGAGTCAATGCCCCCAGTTGTTGGTTTCAGTCGAGTCCATGCCCCCAGTTGTTGGTTTCAGTAGAGTCCATGCCCCCAATAGTTGGTTTTAGTAGAGTCA